CATATGGCTTCACTTATACATGGAATCTAATGAACTAACAAACAAAATAGGAACAGACACACAGATTCAAAGAACAGACGGACAGCTGTCAGAGGGGAAGGGAGTTGAGGGGCTGGGTGAAAAAGGTGAAGGGATTAAGCAAAGAAGAAAAATCTCATAGACACAGATAGTACTATGGTGATTACCAGAGGGAAGGGGGGTGGGGGAGGCAGAGTAGGTAAAAGGGGGATAAATGGTGATGGAAGGAGACTTGACTTGGGGTGGTGAACACACAGTACAATATACAGATGATGTATTTATGGAATTGTACACCTGAAACCTATATAATTTTATTAACCAATGTCAGCCCAATAAATTCAGTAAAAAAAAAAATACTAAAAATAAAAGAAATAGAGTAACAGGAAAAAATATAATTCAAGATATAAATATTCAGTTCTTAAGGAGAAAAAGAAAGTTCCCTGTCAATCTTTAATAGCTAGCAGTTTTAAAAACTACTCAAATTTAGCATAATAATAAAACTCCAAATTATGTTCAGATCATGCTGATATTATATGCAAATGTACAATCCAGCATTAAATGGTGGCAATATTCATGGTGAGATAACTATGAGCTAAAACAATTATTTCAATCTTTCCACATCTTTTCATTATTGTAAGATTTTTGGTCTTGAAGTAACAAAGTTCTATAAAATTAAACCTGTATTTTATTATAATTGGTCATTACAATTTTGATATTTATGTGTATTTTTTATTGATATGTGTTAAATTTTAGTAGGATGAAGAAAAATAATGGAATTAATTGGGCCCATTGATTTCTCTAGTTTGTGTAAAAACTGTTTTTTACTAAGAAAATTTTAATTTGGGACCACCATTTTTGAAGGTTAATTTCTTCTATAATCATGTGCAATGTAATGGAACATGAAACCCAGTTAGAAAGTGCACTCCAATGCCACTTATGCCCTTGGTCAAACCAGGAATCTCGAGCACATAATGTTGTATAATGTGTTGTTCTAAAATAATCCTATATAATAAAAGCATAATATGCAAATTGACTGCACAGTGGAACGACTGGTGGGCAGGGGACAGGGCCGGTGAGCAGGTGGTGCCTGGAGCCAAGGCTCGTGCCAACGGGAAGAGGGAGGGGATGAACTCCTGGATTGGAGAGGGCTCCCCTGAGGGCTCCCAGATTGGAGAGGGTGCAGGTTGGGCTGAGGAACCCCCACATCCCCCAGTCATGAATTTTCATGCACTGGGCCTCTAGTATGAACCTCTGTCTGGTATGTTTTTCTTATGGCTTTTGACAATTTAGCTGAGGGATTTCATTTTGTAATGCTCTGCCAAGTCAATTCTGTACAGTGTAACAATATGACACCCACCCAGAGCTTGCCCAGATGAGCAGAGAGCAAATGAATTTCCTTCTGCTTCTCTGTTGAAGAGAGAAAATTCTTCACCCTGTAAATGTTCAGAGAGCATTATACTGTTTTTTATGGTAGATTAATCTCAGTACCATGTGTTCCTAGGAGTGTGGAGTCCAGGGCAAATCATGTGGCTCCCTTCTTAGATTTAGACAAAGGTCAAATCAGGTTCAAAGGACCAGCCCCCTGTGGGGACAGGACGCCTTCAAATATGCAGGTGAAGTAAAGAATGTGCAAGAAGCCCCTGGGAACTTGCCTATGGAGGTGTTTATGGGCTATTTTTAAGCCACTCTTTACCCCTCAGTCTACTTCTTAGTCTTTCCTGACCATGAAATTTAGGGCAGAAAAGCACACAGCAATCACCCTAATTCCTTCCAGTCCTAGGGACAACTCTTGGCCAGGGCTGGCTTCATGGGCCTGCAACCTGTACAGTTGCAAAGAGCCTCGAGCTTACAAGAGCCCGCCCTTGGTTTAATGCTCTATGTCTTGGCCTTGAATCTTGATATCTTTTGAACGAGATGCTTCATTTATTTATGCATAGACAGATCTTGTGTACAAAGCCATGAAGCATTTTTAAGGCAAGAAAACAACCAGTTCCACACCTTATTGCATTTTTTCCCAGAATAAATGAATCAAGGGAATTTAGGACTTGAAAAATTAGGCTGAGATGAAAATGAGCCCAATTTTTAATAGAAATGAAATTTTAAGTACACTGTGATGTTGCATTTGAGGGGTACTTTTCCAGGATATAAGTATTTTTTTCTTTCCATCTGGGTTGATTATTTTGAGATAGTGAAATGTGATTTGCTAGACATTTCAAACCAAAGATGCAGAGTACATACATAGAGGTTATTACAGGGTTTTGATTTTTTTTTTTTTTGAGAAAACCTGGGTGCAAACAGATAATAGCGTATCTGTTAATATGGAGGGACGGCGCCAGCCCCACACTTAAGTGTGAAGGTTTCACATCATCTCTTTACCACTCTTCCAGCATGACTATATCCTGTCATGTTTGCTCTCCTCCCTCATCTTAAAAGTGGTTAGATTTCTGAAAAACTTGTATATAAATTCTTCTCTGTCTGCCACATGAATTGAGCCAAAAACGTGCATCCCATTTCTGTGTGGCTTTGTTCTCAGTTGACTTTCATGGTTAGAAAGTGATCTGATAGTTAACCCCTGTTAAACTATTAGCTGGTACTAACTTAAGGTGTGACTTCTACTTAGGGAGCTTTAATATTTAGTATCACAAAGTCTTAAAGACTCCAAGGCATGAATTCCCCCAGAGCCATTGCGAAGCCCACTGACAAGCCAGCGAGTGCTTTCTGGAGGCCTTCAATTGCACCAGGCAGGCAGCTGCCCTTGATGGCCACAGTGTTCCAGAGACAGAAAACCCCTCCAATATTTCCTCTGTTCATGATGAACTTGGGTAGCTCAATGGCTCATCCAGACTACTGAGTTAGCCCTTGTCACATTGTATGACTTATGGCAGATGCTAACATACAGAAAAACTAATGTACTTTGCATAATCCCAGTACTTCCCCATTGTCCTTGCCGACTTCCTTCTTAGGTCACTGAGGAAACAGAAGGAATTATGACAGAAGTTTTACAAGTTTCTACAACATCTCTCACTTGCCAGCAACTGTCTTCTCATGTATTCTGCCTTCTCTCCTTACTAATGATTAATTGTCCATGTTCCTGTTTAAGGTCACAGGGTCCCATCATCTCTCAACAATTCACCCCTTTCTTCTGAATCATTCCCATCAGCATACCTATATGCCATTGTTTCTCTTACCTTCAAAACAACAACAAAAACATTCTCTCTCTTGACCTTATTTCCTGTGCCGGCTGCTGTCCATTTCTATTTCTTTTCACATCAAAACTCCTTGAAAAACTTACTTATACTTGCTCTTCCAAACTCTTTCCTTTCATTTCCCCTAAACCTCCTTCAGTCAAGTTTTTGTCCCCAATGATTCCACTAAAACTGCTCCCACAAGTTCACCAAAGACCTCCCTGCTGCTCCACCCAATGGTTTATCCCCAGACCTCATATCACTTGTCAGCCACACTTCAGACAGTCCATCACTCCCTTCTCCTTGAAACACTTCCTTCACTTGGCTTCCAGGACTCCACACTTCTGATTTTCTTCCTGCCTCACTGGCCTTCTCATGTTTTGCTGGCTTTCCCCATCTTAATAACAGGGAACCCCAAGGAAAGGTCCTTGGACCATTTTTCTTCTGAATCTACACTGACTCCCTTGGCTATCTCATGGCTTCAAATATCATCTCTCTCTGAAATACTCCCAAACTTTTCTCTCTTGAACTGTAGACACATCTATTTACTTCAGGGTCTAGTTGGCATATCACACCATGACTAATTAGACCCCACCCAGTCACTCTTTGCCTTCTCTCCCTAGCACTGGTCCTGCTCTAGCCATGCTGGCCTTCCAGCTGCTCCTGCTCAGACCTGAAGGCCTTCTCAGGTGCTTCCCTCTCTGACCAGATTGCTCTTTCCCCAGATATCTGCAGGGATTATTCCTTTGCCTCTTCCAGGTTTTGTTTGAACATTACCTTCTCACTCAGGCCTTCCTTGACCACCCTATTAAATTGCACTGTACTTTCCTATCCACCTTCCCCAATTTACCTTTCTCCATGGCACTCTCTTTCTAACTCCAGTTTTTTGTTTATTTTATTTTATTTTATTAATTTTATTTTCTGTCTTCCCAGAATGTAAACTCTGTGAGGAATGGGACCTTTGTCAGTTACCTGATGTATTCCCACTGCCCAGGTCAGCACCTGGAGCCATGGTAGGTGCTCAATACACATTTATTAAATTTATGATGATATATCTTTCCCCCAAAGGGCATGGCTTGCATGTGATGTTAAAAAAACAACAACTGTTTTCTAAAAATAGGGATCGGATTTGTGACTGAGGACCTGTCCTTTCTTAAGCTCTTCTTTATCAAGCCGGCTCCCTTATTTGTTTGGTCAGTGGAGCATTCACTCTGCGTCCCTTAGGGTCCCATCAAACCACTCACACTTGCCCTTTCAGCTGAACGTATGAAATAAAAGTGCTGTGCAACATTTTTACTATTTGTTCATGGGTATTCTTTTTACTCAGTAATTATTATGCATTTTTTGTTTTCCATGAAATGCCTCGTTTAAAATGTTATTGTAAAGATTAAGCTGATGAATGATGTGTAGCAACAGAATAGCCTTCAAGATTGGGAATATTATCATCTGTCACATTTGTTCTACTTTCTAGGCATATTAAATAATTTCCCATTTAAAATAAATAATTGCTGCCTACCACAATAATGTACCTTGCTTTCATCAGAGGTTGTAGCA